ATACTTAGAAGTGAGTGATAATAAATATGCTATATGTCAAAATTTATAGGACACAGATAAAGCTATTTCTTTTAAAGATTAAAAAAAAATTACCTTCAAAGAGAGGAGAAGGGAGGGAGAAGGGGAGATGTTAGAGATATATGAATCAGCTGCCTGTCACACACCCCCACATGGTGACCTGGCCTACGATCCAGTTATGTGTCCACATTTTGGTTTCCAGGCCAGTCCAGTATGTGTCTTGACTGGTGACCTTTTAGTTCCAAGGCTGGTGCTCCATCCACTGAGCCTCAACAGCCAGGGCTCAACTTCAGCTGTTTAGTCTAGCATTTGGTAAGCGCGTAGGCCCTTTTCTTTTTTTTTCAGTATATTTTATTAATTATGCCATTACAATTGTTCTATTTCCCCCTTCATTCCCCTCCACCCTGCACACCCCCTCCTCCACCATTCCCCCCCTTTAGTTTATGACCACGTCTCAAGTTCTTTAGATTCTATATTTCCCATATTATTCTTGCCCTCCCCCCTGTCTATTTTCTACCTACCATCTATGCTACTTATTCTCTGTACCTTCTCCCCCCCTTCTCCTTCTCCCACTCCCGTTGCTAGCCCTCCATGTGATCTTCATTTCTATGGTTCTGCTCCTGATCTAGCCATGCTCTTAGTTTGCTTTTGTTTTAGGTGTGGTTGTTAATAACTGTGAGTTTGCTGTCCTTTCACTGTTCATCTTTTTTATCTTCTTTTTCTTAGGTAAGTCCCTTTAACATTTCATATAATAAGGGCTTGGTGATGATGACCTCCTTTAACTTGACCTTATCTGAGAAGCACTTTATCTGCCCTTCCATTCTAAATGAAAGCTTTGCTGGATAGAGCAGTCTTGGATGCAGGTCCTTGCCTTCCATGACTTGGAATACTTCTTTCCAGCCCCTTTTTGCCTGTAAGGTCTCTTTTGAGAAATCAGCTGACAGTCTCATGGGAACTCCTTTGTTAGGTGACTGTCCCCTTATCTCTTGCTGCTTCTAGGATTCTCTCCTTCGTTTTAATCTTGGGTAATGTAATTATGATGTGCCTTGGTGTATTCCTTCTTGGGTCCAACTTCTTTGGGACTCTCTGAGCTTTCTGGATTTCCTGGAAGTCTATTTCCTTTCGTAGGCCCTTTTCTTACTGCTCCAGCACTACTACTTCACCAGCCAGGGACAGATAAATTTGTATTTAGATGAAGAAGTCCAGCTCTTTAAAAATTTTACCAGGAAACAAATTTTTTAAAGCTACCTAAGAATTGAACTCATGAAGTGAGGAAAAGAGCAATAGAGAAATCTTGACAAGAGGGAAAGACACAAAGAACATAGGGTAGAAATCAAGAGAGAAGAGAGAAATAAAAGATTAATCATTCTCAGAATTTCAAGCTGATGGAACAATGAGCATAAAGTATATAGTTCATTGCTAAGGGTACAAACTTTCAGTTCTAAAATAACCCATGGGGATGTAATGTATAGCATAGGGAATATAGTCAATAATATTGTAATAACTTTGCATAGTAACATGGTTATTAGGCTCACTGGTGATCACTCATTAAGGTACATAAATGTTTAATAACTGTTGTACATCCGAAACTATTGTAATACTGTATGTTAACTATACTTTAAAAGATACAGAGCAACCCTGGCCAAGTAGCTCAATTGGTTAGAGCGTTGTCCTGACACACCAAGGTTGTGTGTTCAATCTCAGGTCAGGGCACATACAAGAATTAACCAGTGAATGCATAAATAGGTAGAAAAACAAATTGGTGTTTCTCTTTCTCTCTCTAAAAATCAATAAATAAAAATATATAAAGCATTGTTTGTCATTATTTCAGGAACAGAATTCCTTCATAAATCATATTTTCCTGAACAAATACTGTGACTTTTAAAAAATGTGTTGGTTGGCTTAAGTCCGTTTAGCTTTTCCCACAAAATAAAAGACATGTTTTTCATTATCTACAACTTTATTGATTTAGATATTTTGAGTATGTTGGCTGTCTCCTGCATGGTATAATGTTGATTGTTCTCACTTGATGTTTCTATTTGATCACTATCAACTTCAGCTGCTTTACCCGACTGTGGAGTATCATCTAGCAAGAAATCTCCAGCATGAAACTACACAAACCACTTTTTGTGTTTGTGTTCAGTTGGTCACAGCACCTTCTCTATATACTGCACAAATCTCTTTTTGCATTTCAGTTGCATTTTTACCTTTGTTTTTTTCTTTAAAGATTTTATTTAAAGATTTTTTTTTTTTGAGAGAGGGGAAGGGAGGGTGAAAGAGAGAAAGAAACATAAATGTATGGTTGCCTCTCACATGGCCCCCACTGGGGACCTGGCCCACAACCCAGGCGTGTGCCCTGACTGGGAATCAAACTGGTGACCCTTTGGTTCACAGCCCACGTTCAATCCACTAAGCTACACTAGCCAGGCGCATTTTTACCTTTCTTGAAATAATAAAGAATAATATGTCAAAAATGTGTAATTCCTTCCATCTTCAATATTAAAATGGCTACATAAAAATTCACCAATTTTGATAAGTTTTTAAAAAAGATTTTATTTAAACCCTGGCTGGGTTAGCTCAGTGGATTGAATGTGGGCCTGTGAACCATAGAATCACTGTTCGATTCCCAATCAGGACACGTGCCTGGGTTGCAGGGTTCCCAGTCAGTTTCCTTCTTTAGAGGGGAAGGGAAGGAGACAAGGAGAGAAATATCAATGTATGGTTGCCTCTCATGCATCCCCTGCTAGGAACTGGCCTGCAACCCAGGCACGTGCCCTGACTGGGAATCAAACCGTGATCCTTTGGTTCATAGGCACGCGCTCAATCCACTAAGCTATGCCAGCCAGGGCTTGATAAATTTTTTAAATGCACACTGATATGACAGCTGTCACAATACAATCTAACAAAACTATCTCAATGAAATTAAAGACAACTAAGTGCTACTAGAGCCATCTCATGGAAAAAAATAAACTTTTTGGCCAACCCAATTTGTTATTAGTCCCTCTTCTTAAGTATCCTTTTCTAAGTTTGCCAACCTTTAACTACAGGTTCAAAATCTTTCACTTGAAGAATGTCAGGTCTCATTGTCCTACTTGAGTGTGAGACAGCCCCCTCTTCCCTTGCCAACTGGAAGACAGTTTTTCTTTTTTTCTTTCTTAATTTTTCTTATTTCTTTCTTTCTTTCTTTCTTTCTTTCTTTCTTTCTTTCTTTCTTTCTTTCTTTCTTTCTTTCTGTTTTTACAAGACAGTTTCTGAAAGGGGTCTTTAGACTGTACTTGTGTATAAGGAATTTTGATGTGATGAACTGTACTGTGGCGCTAACCTCTGGCGGGTGAGTATTCTCTTCATTCTGGAACGCAGTCTTAGAAAACAAGTCTCACTTTAAAATTACAAGCCTGTGATCTTTTATTCAAAAACAATAATCACATAAAGAATCCCTTTTGCCCTGGCTAGTGTAGCTCAGTGGAATGAGTACTGGCCTGAGAACCAAAGGGTTGCTGGCTTGATTCCCAGTCAGGGCATATGCGTGACTGGCTGTCCAGTCCCCCCAGTAGGGGGCACATGAGAGGCAACCCCACACTGATATTTCTCTCCCTTTCTTTCTCCCTCCCTTCTCTGTCTAAAATAAATAAAATCTTTTAAAAAAGAAAATAATCCTTTTTGCAAAAATACTCAAGTGTTCCCAAAGGCCTTCCTTAATACTTTGATATTCCAAACACCTCCTTTTGAAGTCTAGGGTCTTTCCTTTTGATTTTCTTAACTGTCAGATGCTCACTTTCCAACGTCTTTGGTGAAGTGTGTGAAGTTTCCCCAAATCACTTTAATTGCTTCATAAAGTACTGTATCTTGCCTAAGATTTGCAATTTCACTTTGCAGTGAATGTACACTGTACTGTCCAGTGATAAGACAAAAATGTCAATACAGAAATGCTGTTAATCATGGTGACAAGTTTGAATCAAGAATCATTTTTAAAAGCCCTGGTTGGTGTAGCTCAGTGGATTGAGTGCAGGCCTGTGAACCAGACAATTACAGTTCAATTCCCAGTCAGGGCACATGCCTGGGTTGCAGGCTGGTCCCCTGCAGGCCAGTTCCCAGCAGGGGACTCACAAGAGGCAACCATACATTGATGTTTCTCTCTTTCTCTCCTTCTCTCCTTCCCTTCCCCTCTAAAGATAAATAAAATAAAATCTTAAAAAAAATCATTTTTAAGTAGCCAGTTTATTAATGAATAATTCCATTTTTTAAAAGATGTTATTTATTTTTAGAGAGAGGAAGGAAAGGAGAAGGAGAGAAATATCAATGTGCAAGAGATGCATTGATTGGTTGCCTCTCACATGCCCCCAACTGGGGGCCTGGCCTACAACCCAGGTATGTGCCCCGAGTGGTCTTTAGGTTTTCCCACTACTTTTTCCTCAGTGGATTGAGTGCAGGCCTGTGAACCACACGATTGCGGTTCGATTCCCAGTCAGGGCACATGTCTGGGTTGCAGGCCAGTTCCCTGCAGGCCAGTTCCCAGCAGGGGACGCACAAAAGGCAACCATAACATTGATGTTTCTCTCCTTCTCTCCTTCCCTTCCCCTCTAAATAAATAAATAAATAAATAAAATCTTTAAAAAACAAAAAAGTTTTTTTGGCTCTCCATATTCCTAAGCCTGGGTACTGACCAGGATAGAGGGTGGCATGGAAACTCTAGACTCAAGCCCAGCAGTGCAAATTAACTCTCATTACTGAGGTGACCAATTTTTGGAGTTCTCAGTAAGAAAACTAAGGGCAGCACGGCAGCAGCATGCAGTGCTCACAACCGCCAGTAGATGGCGCCAGACCACTAATGTACCTAATTCAGAAAAGTGGACTGGAATTCAGTTCCATCCTAGTTCCTCCACAACCCGAGAAAGGAGTTCTGGCTCAACGCAGGTATCCAGCATCCCTAAGGGAAACAGTTTTCATTCCAGGTCTGACCAGACAAATAAGACAATAAGTAGTATAGATATTCCAATGACTTTATTAACTCGCTCTTTCTGGTGATGGCAGAACCTGGTAGGTGGAGAACTGGAAAGGAAGCTATGGTTTCAGTATGGGTCATTAAAGGGGTACAAAGGGTGCCCTGCGTCTCTTGGGACCCTCTTCCCATCCACCTGGAAATAGAGAGACATAAGACCTCATTAGGAGTTAATATTTCAAAGATACCAGACATCTGTCCCCACACTTCCTCAACCTCACTTGTGTTCTGCATGACACCAGATGGCAGTGACAGGGGCCCAGCCTCAGGGAGTGCCAGAGTATCAACAGCATTCCCATCAGACCCACAGCCAGGTACATAAAGTTGCCATCTCAGCTGGAAAGGAACTCTCTATTTTCTTCTGCGCAACAGGCTTCCACCCAACCTCAAACTCTAAAAAGGTTGAGAATGCCTTCTAGGCTCCCCTCATATCATTTACTGAGATTTTTCTATGTGTCATGAACTGGAATCACTTGACAGATAGGAAGCTAAGGCTTGGAGAAGTTAAATAATGTTCTAGCTTACAAGATACAGAAAAGTAGGACTGGGACTCACAGGCTATCTATACCTTATCCCTGAACCACAATACTTCCCCCTGCTGAATAAAAGCCCAGTGTGTCCAGGACAGCAATCCTACCCACCACCATTCTGCCTCTCTCTGACTAGCAAGGTTGAGGCCACACTTGGGCCAGAATCCTGCTCCAAATCTAACATTCACTGACTCTGGGGGGGTGAAACATACTCACCGTAAGCAGGGGCACAATGTATCGCAAATTTTTGTTCAGGGAATCTAGCTGCTTCATCTCTTGTGGGGTAAAAGTGAAGTCAAAAACCTAGGGATGGGGATTAGGGGGTTAGGAAAGCCAACTTTGTGAGTGGAGGTCAGGATTCCAGAACACCCGCTTCTTAGCCAGGCCAGACTGTGTCCCAGTGGGTCCCGTTACCAAGTACCTGGATGTTCTGAAGGATACGAGAAGGTGTGATACTCTTGGGGATGGAGATCACTCCCCGCTGGACCTGCCACCTATGGTGGGGGGATTGAGGTAGATGAGGAAAAGGAGTCAGTACTCATAAGCATTGTTTTGTCTTCCATGCAGCCTTTTTAAAGCTCCTGGAGGCCCTGAGCCCCCCTGAAATGGGGAACATGCTTCAGAGTGGCCTCCAGCAGATCACAGGGCAAGAGTCTCACCCAGGCACTTAAGTAAGAAGCCCCTAAACCTTTGACTCCCAACTCAGAAGCCCTTTCCCTGACCCAACCTCCTTTCCCCAAGACTGCCTGTACCTGAGCAAGATCTGGGCTGGAGACCGGCCATACTTTTTAGCCAGTGCCAGGACCACAGGTTCCTCAAGCACGACAGGCTCATCAGGATTACTCCAAGTACGATCAGGGGAGCCCAGAGGGCTGTAAGCTGTCACCTTCAGGTCACGGGCTTGGCAGTGAGCAATCAGCTTGTTCTGAGCCAGATATGGGTGGCATTCCACCTGAGCCAAGAAACAACCCATCACCATGAAGTAGCCACATGTAGCTTGCCTGACTGCACCCAGACATGCCATCCTGACCACCCCCAACTTCTCTTCTGCCCACTTTTTTTACTCTGATTTCACTGTCCATTTCATTCTCACCCCACATATCAATGCAATGCCTTTCTTTATGCAGAGGATCCCTGCACCAATATTTCTGACAATTTGCTACCCATCTCCATGAAGTAGACCTATATCATCTGTTCACTCACTCTTGCACCACCCCCCCCAAATAACTGATCTGGTGTGCTGTGCTCACCTGCAGGACAGCTGGGCGCACAGAGGCCACACTGAGCACATCATCAATCTGCCGACTGCTGAAGTTGGACAGGCCCAGTGCCCGCACCAACCCCTTAGCCACCAGTGCTTCCAGTGCCTTCCAGGTCTCCTTATAGTCAATGAAGTCATAGCGCATAGTCCCATCAGCGTTCTTAGGGAAAGGGTCATCTCCCCGCCTGAGTGAAAGACAGCCCCCCAAGTGTGGGCATAAATGCCAGGCTTTTGCCTTACCTGCCATCCAGCCCCTCTATGTCCCATACTCCAAACCCAGAAAGGGCCAAGGGCCAAGAATGAGATGTCTTCCTCTTCAAGGAGTTGCATGCTCTTGCAGCTGCATTCTGGCATAGGGCACAAAGCTGATGGCAAGCTCCTCTCACACCCACTGCTGGAACTTATTATTTACCCCAGGGCCTACTTCAGCAGAAGCTAGTACCTTTCCTGAATGAATAAAGGGAACAGGAGGGAGGACTCATGCATACCCTAGGATATATCCCATGTGCAGCTGTACTCCCTTTTCTGTAGCTAAACTCCTAGCAGAAAGGACTGAGTTTCCATGCCAACCAAGCTCTTTAGCTCTGCTACTATCCTGCTCTGCTACTGTGACTTACCATAAGTTACTGACATGACTCCCCAATCACCACCTCCCTGGATAAAGACCCAAGCAAAGCTCACTCAAAGGCATAAGGCCAGTGTATCAGGTACAGGTCCAAATACTCCAGCTGGAGGTCAGCCAGTGTCTTCCGGAGGGCAGGTTCCACATCCTCAGGGTGGTGCTTAGTGTTCCATAGCTTGGAAGTCACAAACAGCTCCTCCCGAGACACCGCCTGGTGCGGGGGGCAGGGCCCATAATGACAAGAGCCATGGGCACCCAGTCACACCCACCCGCACCTCTGGGAGAGGAATGAGAAGGGAACCGATACCAGACCCCTCTAGCCAGGCCCCAGCCCCTTAGATCCCTGACCCCATCCCTCTGTAGCCCCAGTCCTCACCTTGCCAGGTCCCACGTTCTCCTTCAGGGCCTCCCCAATCTCAGTCTCATTGCCATAGGCAGCAGCACAGTCAATGTGGCGGTAGCCTACACTCAGGGCATACTTAATAGCTGCTTTTACCTGCCAGGTAAAAGAGCAGAGGGTTGCAGATCTGTTGGTCTGTACCATAAACTGCACTTCTGAGGGTCACTGATGTGGGGAGGAGTGCAAGAACATACCACTGCAGTCACCTATGCAGTGGGCGTATGACGAGGGAATACGGTTCTAGTCCATGGGACCAAGAGCCTTAAACCCTCTGACCCCATCCCACTAACCCCCAAGTTTCCTTCCTACGCAAAGTGTCAGCGGGGCCAGCAAAAAACTAACAATGTGCTCCTAGCTACAGGCTCAGAAGATGGACACTTTGACAGAGGACAAAAGTATAGGTTGTAGAGCCAGGCTCCCAGCCCTGAAACACGATACACAGGTAAAGAATTCCTAGGCCAAGGCCATTCAGAGAAAGACCCACAGGGAATCATGCAAGGACCACGCAAGGTCTGGAGGATCAGGCAAGCAGAAGAGGCAGGGTGGAAGGGAAATAGGAAGGTAGAGAAGTGAGATGGAAGCCAGGCCCCCAGCTGCCTGTCAGGAGAGAAAAAAATCAGGTACCAAGTAGAAGGACACATAAATTTATATCATCTAAAAACCTGACTAGAAACATGGCCATCAGAAGGTGCCAGGCCTTTGCCATTCAATACCCCCATCTAGGTGCGGCTCTTACTATCCAGACATATTCCCCCACCCCTGACTCTACCTCCTGATGTTCTATCCCAGCCTCCCCACCTTCTTGGCCCTGGCTCTGAGCTCCACCCTTGCCTTCATCTAGTTCCTAGACTAGTCCTGGGCCATGCCAGTGCTTGCATAGAGCACAAAGACTCCAGCTCCAGAGCTGTAAGCAGATGACGCAGAGGAGGGGCTGAGGGGGTCAGTAGGAAGAAAATCAAAGGAGAAAAAGGCAGTCTAACTTTTTCCCCTTTCTTCCCTATTTCACCAAACCACATCATAAACACTAGCCAAAATCCCAGAGGCTGTTCTTGCCACCTGGGTCCCTCCCAAACTTAATCCCCAAATTTCTCTAAACTCTGACTCAGATGTCCAAGGAAGAATGACGAAGCACTGGGGAGATGCCCCACTTTAAGTGGATGTTGAATCTCTTGCTATCACCCCCAGGGAAACAGGCCTCCATTCCCATGATTCCCTAGGCTGGAAGAGTGTACATGAGGGGTCATTAAACTCTAGCTCACAGCCACCATTTGTGTTTTCCAGCCTTTGAGCTAAGAATGAGTTTTATATTTTTAAATGGTTACACAAGTACATTATCACCTCTATTTTGCAACTTACCAACAAGATATAAATTATTAACCATCTAGTTCTTTAAGAAAATGTTTGCTAACCCTTGGTCTATAATATATAACCTAGTTATTCTTTAATCCCTGACACCTACTGTGTGCCTACCTGTGGAATGAGCACTAGTGAGAGGCCCCAACTTCAAGAAGCCTAGCGTGGAGCAGAAGACATGATCACAGCACAGGGTGATAACTGACTATTAGGGGTCAGCAAAGGGCCAGGCACAGAGTGATCCCATGTCTGCATAGCACTCAGTGTAGATCGTTAGAGAAAGGGTTCCTTTCTATGCCTTTGGTCTAGCTGACCCCCTCAGCCCCTCCTCTGCGTCATCTGGGGAAGCCAAGGGCACTTTGTTAGGTCCTTCTTCCTTTGCTTCTCCCACTGCCCTCCAGGCTCATCCCACCTTAAGTGGGACACAGGAGCAGGGCTGATAGGAAAAATGCAGGGACTATTTCCTAAATACTGCTTTCTCCTTAACAGAGATGCAAGAAGCCCTCCTCGCCTCCCCCCACCCCCATCCCTCACTTCGCCAGGATTGCTCTTCCAGGTGCCCAGTCCAATCAGAGGCATCTTCTGCCCAGTGTGCAGGACAACACAGGAAGCTGCCATTGCCACCTGAAACATAAATGGAAAGAGAATGGTGTGGGGATTAGTGCTGCTGCTTGGGTTTCAGCTGCCTACTGGTCAAGGCTCCTGTAACACATGGGTGGCAGAAGGGGCACAGAAGTGACAAGAGAACAAACATGCAGTTGCATATATGTGCCTGTGAGCAGAGGCAGCTGAGACAGAGGGCCCAGAAGCAACCACAGCCAGTATCTCCTGGACAAATGCTAACCAACCACCAGCCTGGCTGCCCTTCCTTCCACCAGGCTAAAGGTCTGTGTTAAAAAGCTCCAATACCTAAAATCAAAGGCAGGGCGGCTTCCCACAAGTACTGTCTTGACTACATGAGGTCTCAAGCCAGTCTAAAACAAACAAAGGCCATTATGAGTCAATGTGAGACCAGGTGACAGAACAGGCTCAGGAAAGGGCCAGCTTTCTGAGGCTGAGACAAACATTCCCAGGAGACTGTCAGAACTACATACAGAGACTCTGAGTTCCTCTCACAGAGGAATTCCTTGTGCTCATTCTAGAGGAACACCATGCTGGTAGGCCTCTTACAAGGGAAGTATACCATCTTTTAAAGACTTCATTTACTTATTTTTAGAGATAGAGGAAGGGAGGGAGAAGGAGTGGGAGACAAACATCCTAGTGGGAGAGAAATATCCATCGGTTGACTCTCCCCCCCCCACCCCCCCCCCCAGCTGGGGGCCTGGCCTGCAACTCCTGCAGATGCCCTGAATTGAACCGGCAACCTTTCAGTTCACAGGCTGGTGCTCAATCTGCTGAACCACACCAGGCAGGGTGGGAAGTATACCATCTTATAGATGAAAAAAAAAACAGCTAAGAGAGGTCAAGACATTTGCCTCAAATCAACAGCTAAGTGGCAGAGCTGTGGATCCAAGGAGGAACTAATAGAAAAAGAAGAGCCCTGGCTCGTGTAGCTCAGTGGATTGAGCGAGGGCCTGTGAACAAAGGGATTGTGTGATTCCCAATCAGGGCACATGCCTGGGTTGCAGGCCAGTTCCCAGCAGGGGACGCACGAGAGGCAACCATACATTGATATTTCTCCCTCTCTCCTTCCCTTCCCCTCTAAATACAAATGAATAAAAATCTTTAAAAATAAATATGACAAAAAAATTTAAAAAAAGAAAAAGGGAAGAAAAAGGCAGGTAGAGACACTCATAAAATACATGTGCTAATGGCAGACACATGCATAATTTGCTGTAGAAAACAAATGCCCTTTGTTGGGCAAGAACCAGGGAATAATGACATTTGCTTTTAAGAATGAGTTGGATTTTCCCTAGAGTCCAGGGGAAAAAGACTTTCCTGGAAGGGGAACTAGACATTGGACTTCAGTGCAGCAAAAAGCAATAAAATTCAGATGTAAGAAAATTTCCAATGGAACAAAAGCAGATGGGCACCGTATTTTCGGACCATAAGATGTACCTAGGTTTTAGAGGAGAAAAATAGGGAAAAATTTTTTGAAGCAAAAAAAAAAATTTAATAACATAAATAACATACAGCCCTGCCCCGGCTGGTGTAGCTCAGTGGACTGAGCGTAGGTCTGCGAACCAGAGGATCGTGGTTCAATTCCCAGTCAGGGCACATGCCTGGGTTGCAGGCCAGTTCCCTGCAGGCCAGTTCCCAGCAGGGGATGCACTAGAGGCAACCATACATTGATGTTTCTCTCCCTCTCTCCTTCCCCCTCTAAAGATAAATAAAAATCTTTAAAAAAAACCCCAAAACATAAATAACAACATTTCACCAATGTAAATGCAAACAGAATTCAACAGCAGCATTAAAAACCATTATTACTGACTTAACTTTAAGTATGGAAACTCCGCTAATCATCAGGGAACCACAAGAACTCCTCCTCACTACTGTCCACATTTATGAAGCTCAGTTCCTCACAATCACTGTCTTCACTGTGTTCATAGAGGATGTCATCTTCAGAGCCATGTAAGGCATTGCTGATGCCACGTTTTTTGAAGGACCTCACAACGGTTTCATCCTTAACTGACTGCATGAGGTTTTCAGCCACTCACAAACCGGGGTAATTGTGGGCCTCTTCATTTGTCCAGTTGGCGTCAGATCATGATTTCCAGCAGCCATCCATTTGTTCCACTCACTCTTCTCTCATGAAAACTTTAAATGGCTTGTTGATGAAAACATCCAAATGTTGCAACTGGCTGGTAAGTCCCCTAGGAATTATAGCTAGATGGGTTTTCTCTTCCTTAAATCTCTTTTTTGAGGCTTCAGTAATATGTGCCCTAAACTGGTCCAGCACTAACAGAGCAGGTTTTTTCAGAAGCCCTCCAGGAGATTTGGACCACACTTTTTCTATCCGTATCTTCAGGCCATTTTCGTCCATCCATCCTTTGTCACGAACATGACAGTAACTCCTCTTGGGACTGCCTCTTTTGGCATGTTTTTCTTTTGAAAATCAGCATTGGTGGCAGTTTGGTGCCATCTGCACAGCAGGACAACACAACCGTGTAATGAGTTTTCTCATGCCCTGAGGTTGTCAACGGTTATGGTTTTGGCACCTTTCACATCAACAGTCTTGTTTGATGGAACATCAAAGGTTAACGGGACTTCATCCATGTTCCCAATCTGGCTTATTTCAAATCCATTATTCTTCCTTGCATCCAGTACAAATTTGTGAAAAGATACAATCTTGGATTCATATTCTATAGGCATTTTTTGTGCAATCCTAGTTTTGGTGCGCACAGCAAGGCTGCATCTCTTCGTAAATCTGTGGCACCTTGATGGTGATGCAGTGAAGTCCTCAACACCTTTCTCTGCAGCTAGACGTTTGGCTTCGTGTTTGATCATTTCTGTAGATACTGAAAAGCCATTGTTCCTGTGACGTGTGATCCACTCTTTCATATACGCCTCTAACTGTGGCCATTTTGCAGCACGCCCACGAAAACGTTGTTTCTTATTGTCTGTTTTTTGCAGTAGATCCTGTTTCCTCCATTCCCGTATCATTTTTTCAGTCGGAGGTGGCCCAAAGTCTCTCTCTACTGCTCTGTTCCCATGTTCTTTGGCATACTTCACTACCTCCAGTTTAAAAGGGATTTTATATGAAATCCTTTTCTGTTTTGACATCTTTCCACAATTACAGCAGATTCAGCAGACTACAGTACGCTGTCGTATCTTTCTACAACTAAATACATAATGACAGAACTATCAGCACTGTGTCCTTCATAGTTATGGGTGCACTGTAGCCGAGAATATCAGTGGATGATGTACTGTTATGGGGAGATCTGCTGCTGGAGGGCCACAGGTTGTGCAAAACTCTTGTGTGGGGACAACGGTTTTGCACAACCTGTGTCACTCTGCAGCTGTTGCCAAATTACAGCTCCCATCTTCCCAACCTGTCCAAGCATGATGAGAGCTGTACTTTTGCGACAGCTTCAGGGCCACATTGACAGGTGACCCTGCAGTGGAATTTGCCTATGTTAATGTTAATGGGGGACACACCAGTCACATGATAGAGGCCACGTGATATATGGGTGCCGCAGGCCTTCTTCTCCTAACACCCATGCACTACCTATACCCTCCTCCCTAGCACAATAGTATGCCACAGTGGAGACTCTGCTCCTGCTTCCTTTGCTTGGCACTGCCGGGACACCCCTTCCTCCCAGCCCAAGGCCAACAGCATTGCCCCACTCTTGCTGCACCTTGGTGTCCTGCAGCAGCGACCCTTCTCCTGCCTCCGGTGACCCGGCTCCACCGCGCCCCCCCCACCCCCACCTGCCACAGCGAGCCAGGTAAACTACAATCGGACTATAAGACGCAGCCCCGTTTTCCTCCCAAATTTTTGGGGAAAGTGCGTCTTATAGTCAGAAAAAAAAGGACATTAATTGTCACAGCCCTCTTTGGAGAGCTCTAAAAAATCAGAGGTCTCCAAATGGCCCAAGAATGCTCATTCGGTCAGCAAGTGATGAATTTTCCAGGCCTTGTGCTAGACTCACATATTCAAAGAGTCCCCACCCTCCTGAAGCTTATAGTCTGCTGAGGGGGGAGGAGAAGGAGGACAGAGGATATGGGCACAATGCTTAAGAAATGTGACCAAATCTGCACAAGTGCTGCAGGGAAAGAGTAAGTTGGCTAGGATGGCTTCTTGAATCTGATATCTGAGTCAAGTCTTAAAGAACAGGAGTTATCCAAGAGAGAGGGAAAGGATAAAGAATGCTGACCCCAAAAGCCAATAAGGTAGAAACTTTTCCTTTGATCTCATCAGTATTATAAATACTCCTCTCTCAGGATTGGTTTCATTGTCAGCACTACCTTTATAAATATAACTTTTGTTTCCAAGTTTTGAAAAGACACCAAGAATATTATGGTAGCCCTGACTGGTGTGGCTCAGTGGCTTACCCATTGTCCCGCAAACCAAAGGGTCACCAGCTCAGTTCCAGGCTGGGGCGCATGCCTGGGTTGCAGGCCAGGTCCCCAAGAGGCAACCAATCAATGTTCCTCTCCCTTTCTATTTCCCACTTTTTCTCTCTCTAAAAATGAATAAATAAAATCTTAAAATAAAAATAAAAAAAGAACTTTGACTGTCGTGGCTTAGTTGGCTGGGCATCAGCCCACAAAGTGAAAGGTTGCTGGTTAGATTCCCCGTCAGGGCACATGCCTAGGTTGCGGGTCTAGTCCCAGGTCCATGTGCTTGTGAGATGCAACCTATCCATGTTTCTCTTGCTCTCTTTCTCTTTCCCTTCCCCTCTTGCTAAGAATAAATAAATAAAATCTTTTTTTTTTAAAGAGTATTATGGTAGAACAGGTAATAAAGGCAAGTTGCATGATGTACAACCTACACACCAAAATTGTCTTACTTAACACTTCTGACGCAGGAAGAATTTTACAGTCTAGCATAACCAGTTAAGGTGACCACTCCTTTCTGCTGAAACAAAAATGTTCAATCTGGGAAGCAAAGCACAAAGATTGCTGAGAGCAATACTCTTTGTTACCAGGCTTTCCAGGGATCAGGCAAGCATGTCTGAACTTCACAGGAAGAACTAGCCTGCCAGCTACTACCAGGGTCTGTGGCCGGTTTCTTGGACTTGATCCCCAAACATGTAACCTGTAACCACCCCCACCAACACCAAATTTCCCAGCACAGAGGAGGGCTCTGGAATCACTATTTGGCTGAGAGCTTGAATAAAAACTATGCCTAAGGTAAAAAGGAAGAAGAAACCTGATGCTTGCTTCTCTTTTGTTGGTGAAATTGAAAACCAAAAGGGCTGAGGCTTGGTGGGGGGCAGGGGAGGAATCATGGAGGAAGGCAGGAAGACCTAACAAAGATTTGCGAAGAACAAGAGCTCCAAAGGAGGAAATGCAGGGGCCCAGGCATAAGACTGATGTTTTTCCCTAGGACAGGAAGTCATCCTCCACCAGTTCTCGACTTCCTCATCTTCTGCCTGAGACCACAGCATTCCAGCCTAGCCCTGCATTAGTAGGCTTGGAGCTTGTCAGGAACTGCCTCACTGGACCTCATGTTATGGTGGCAAAGGTTCTAGATATAAAAGACAAACTGGGTGTGTATGGGGAGAGGGGGAAGAGTGTAGCACGAGGAGTCAGGTTTTATTATTCCCAAGTTGACACCTACCTTCTTTCTCAATGGGATTCAGTCTTCCCTTCTCAATGGAGGGCTCTGTAGTTGCTGGTTGGATGCAGGGAACTAGAAAACAAGGGGAAAAGAGGAAGCAGTATTTGTATGAGCACTCTCTAGCTGCATGGGCCTTTGCCTCTCATAAACACTGGTGTCCCTCAGGGTTCTATCCCCAATTCTCTTTCACTCTATAGTCCAGCGCAGTTATCACCTTAAGCACTGATTCTTCTCAGTCCAGTTCTCTATATTCAACTCCTTCTATACATCTCTATTAGAGTGTTCTATAGGTATCTGAAACTCGGCATATCTAAAACTATACTTGATAATATGTCCACAGTATAATCCATTGGTTCTTTGTTATTATTATTATTATATTTTATTTACTTTTAGAGAGAGGGAAAAGGAGGGAAAAAGACGGAGAGAAATATTGGTGTGTCAGGGAAACATCAGTGGCAGCCCCCAACTGGGGACCTGGCTGCCAACCCAGGCATGTGCCCTGACAGGGAGTCAAACCAGTGACCTTTTGGTTCACAGGTCTGCGCTCAATCCACTGAGCCACACCCTTCAGGGCCCACTGGGTCTTTAGAAAGCCATATAAATAAAGTATTTCAGGTGTTTCTGAGTATTATCAGATTATGATTTTGACAGGTGATAAAGAGGGGAGTACCACATTTTGCCGTGTATAACATGCACCCACGTTTTTGGCCCAAACTTACAGGAAAAGAACTTTCATTTTAATTTTAAGGTGCAATTATTTATTTATTTATATTTAGAAGCAAATCCAATTATCGTATTCCAGGGTATTATTTTACATACAGATATCATTATTGCTTTCTAGAGTTATATTTTTAACACATAAGCATAAATTAAAGAATTAAAAAGATATACATATGGATTTAGTACTACCCATGTATAATGTGTACCCTTATTTTTCCCCTCAAAAATTTGGGTGGGGGGTCAGGAGGTGGAGGGATTGAGCAAAAAAGAAAGAGGACTCATTGCAGGAGACCATTCTGCATGGGTGGGCCCAGTCCCCAGTGGCAAACATTTACTGCAAAGTAACTTCCTAAAATCCATGCTAAACCTTCCAAAGATGAATGTAACTGGTTCAACCACTTTTGCCCTTTTCATTTGCAAATATCCCTCTTCTGTGATGTGATTAGCAGCACTGGCTCCTTTGTTTTCTGTAAAAGGTAACCACCTAAAGCAACCTGTGTATAGTAAATGAGGACCATCATGTAATGTGCCAAGAAACCCAGTAAAGGTCCTGGCAAGGGCTGAGGCTTTTGCTGTTCTTGAGAGAAGAGCCATGCTGTGCCTTTTCCTCCACAGGACTTGGTAGTCCATGTGAATATCTCATTTCATCCTTAATGACGTGCACACTGTGGGCTGGTGTCCACATCAACTCATGGACATGGACAACAGGGTGGTGACTGCTGGGGGAAGGCAGGTATAAGGGGACCAAATTGTAATGAAATATATAAAGGTTATAAAAAAAAAGAAGAAAATTGGGCAAAAATGTGCACATTATACACAGCAATATATATCTTCTCCTGTACTTCTAAGAAGCCAACATAAAAAGCCACCTTATATATGTAATGGTTACCAAGATTTGGTCTTCAGCTGGGTTAAAAATCCTATTAATATAGGATTTTATATTAATAGATCTAACTTATAAATAGATTTAACTTGTAAATATAAAAAAAGGTACTGCCCTGACAGGTGTGGTTCGGTTGGGCACTGTCCTGCAAAGTGAAAGGCCGCTGGTTTGCTCCCTGGTCAGGGCACATGCCTGGGGTGCCAGTTTGGTGCCTGGTCAGGGCATGTACAAAGGCAAATGACGGATGCTTCTCACATCAGTGTTTCTCTCCCTGTCTTTCTCCCTCCCTTCTCTCTAAAAATAAGTACCAGGGATCTCTCTATTTCCAGTGTGGTCCCTCTCACCACAATCTATTAACTAAATCTGACCATGTGATTCCCAGGTTCCAACTCTTCCAGCAGTTTTCTCCTACCCAGGTCAAAGTCCAGACTCCTTTATATACCCTTTATAACCTGGATCCTACATTCTTCATTTTTCGTATTTCAGACTCCATGTTTTAGATTTTGCAGAGTCAGTCACCACTTAACTGATTCCAGGCCTCTGCACATTTTCGGAAGTCCCACTCTTACTTGGCCAACTGCTGCTCATCCTTCAGCTAGCACTTTAAGCTTTTGGCTCCTCTCATGTGCTTACAGCTTATACACACAGCTGCGGTTATCTGTTATTTAAATTTCCCTCACAAATCTGGGTACTCCTTGATGTCAGAGCCTGTCATCTGTCTGAATGCCTCTCTTCTAGGGTGCCTGCCACATACATGCATTACAAACACACACTAAACACACACACACAGAGGCAAAGGGGGTTGGTTGATCTTGACAGCTGGAGAAGCATTTGAGAAAGCCATTGCTTTCTTCCTCTACTTCTTGAGTAATCTGGAAAGAGTCATCCCTGGAAAATATCAACTTTATCATCTTCCCCCCCCAAAAATTCCAGTGAATCCAGACAGTTTGATACTGAGATTACTCCTGTACCCCACCCCTCAAAAAAAGAAAAAAAAAACAAAAACACAAACTGAGACCTTGGGAAAAATAATAGGACCAATCAGAACCATGAAGACTCTTCTAAGGAGGTCCTGCAGACCTAAGTATACTCAAGCGGAAGGGAGAGGTTAAGAAAAGCCCTTTACGGTGGAAGGTCAGGTTCTAGTCTCACTGTAACAGAAGTCTGGGGCAACAGAAAAGAAAACCCAAACCCAAGGCAGGCGCCTGAGTAAGCAAACTCTATCCCCTCTCGATTTTGAGAAGCATCTCTACAATTCCTCAGAAAGGCCTGATCTCCTTCCTGGAAAAAACCATGTTGGTGAGCGAACAAAATGGAAGATGGCAACTAAAGCTTACTGAGCATCTAATATATGCCCGGTTCTTTAAAAAACTTTGTCACTTAATTCTCCCTACATTTCTGATGTAATAACTAATTTTACCGCTGTGGAGAGAGAGGTCCAGAGAAACTGAGAACTTATTCGAGATCGCACAGCGAAGAGTTCAAATCTGAAATAAAGTCTGGCCCCCCTCCAGAACCTGCGCTCTCCACCCTATTCCTGTGGCGGAAACCTCTTGAAGGATCAACGACAATTCCTCTACAAGAGAGGTGGGGCGGCAGCAGGAGAAACTCACCTCCGCACGAGCACTGCGCGTGAAAACGGTGATTTAATGCGCCTCAGTTCTGAGCCCTGCTAACAATGCACTCGGCCTCAGCTTCCGGGATCGGTGGGCAGAGAGGGAACTCGGCTGACGGTGGCTGCAGGGATCTGGCTTAAGTCTGGCAGCGATGAGAAAGCTCCTCCCAGAGGTGGGGCGAGGACCGGGCTTTCGGACTCTCTTGCAAAGGTGGACCCTGCCCCTGCCCCCAAGAGGGTGGTTGCGGGCTCAGGGAAACGCGCACAGGGCGCTTGGGGCCGAATCCAGCCGTGCTTTTGCTGGCCCACATTGCACTGCGCGCCACGGCGAATTCGCTCTAGGCCAGTTGAACTCCTGCTGCCGGAGAAAGGAGGAGAAAGGAGAGTGGAGTCTCAAAAGCCACTTTTTTCTGGTGTCTGGTCTCCCTCTCAATTCAGTAATTGAATTCTCACTCCCTTCCCCCTTACAGTCGGGTTGGCTGGGTTCAGAATATAGTTAAACTGGCCCCCTTATTTGGTCAGGCAAACTGAGGCTCAGAGAGTAGCCGCAACACAAAAGTTGACCGTGAAAAGGAAGACCTTGGGTCTATCTATAGACTCCAAGAGAGAAAAAGTTTATGGTTTCTGTCTGAACCATGGACCCTGGTCCCACATTTATGCTCCAGGCGCTGTGCTAGCCATTCATTCATTCATTCATTCATTCATTCATTCATTCATTCATTTATGGAGAGGGGAAGGGAGGGAGAAAGAGGGAGAGAAGTATCAATGTGTGGTTGCCTCTCTCGCACACCCTCCCACTGGGGACCTGGCCAGGAACCTAGGCATTTGCCCCATACCTGGAATTGAACTGATGACCCTCTGGTTTGCAGGCTGACACTCAATCTACTAAGCCACACCAGCCAGGGTCTAGATGTTTATTATTAATAATTTGAGAGAGAGGAACATCAACACGCTGCTGCCCCCCATCTATACATGCATTGGTTGACTATGATGTGTACTGTGGCATCCACCAACGTGAGCAACAAATGGTCGGAAACTTTCAGGATTTTAAGATGGAACTTTATTGGCCAAAGTTTTACCTGCACAGGGGTGAACTCTCGAGGTGTCCGGAGACATGGTGCCAAGATGACTGCAAATGAGAGTCGCACCTGGCGCTTACAGCCTAGGGTTTTCATTGGGGTGAGCAAGCAAGCAAGCAAATACAGAAGCAGTCGTAGCTGTTAGCAATTGGCTATCTCGAGAGAACACACATGGCTATGCTCTCTGCTTGCAACAATGGATACTTTTCTGCAAAGACAAGGTCATGCACAGGCAGTTTATCTTGTTCAGCACTCTTTGTACTTTCTGTACTTTCTATCTTCCTTGCTGAGTCAGTCTGGAGCCTGCCTTGGGTTCCTCTTGGCTGCTTTTATCTAATTCCGGGCCTAACAGTACCTCCACAGGGGGTCGACCTGCAACCCTGGTGCATCTGGAGGATGCTCTAACCAACTGAGGTACTGGGCCAACTGAGATACTGGACTGTGTGAGACTTTATAAACATGATTTTACTGAACCTTCACAGTAGCTCTGGAAGGAGAATGTTCTTTTTAATTTTATTTCTTGTATGTATTTTTGTTGAACTATACAGTATAGTCCCTATACTAGATTGTCTTGTAGGTCCCTATATAGATTGTTTAAGGGACCTACAAGAAAATGTCCAAATCTTAAACATACAGCTCTGTGACTTTTTTTGTAATGTAACTACCATCCAGGTGAGAATAACAGAGATTACCAGCACGCTGGAAGCTTCTCAAAAGTATTTGCAGTCTATTTTACAGACTGGACCGATTCAGCAAGGTAAAATAGCTTGCCCAAAGTCACACAGCTATTAAGTTACAGATTTGAAATTTCGAAAAGCCCCTGCCTCTCGACCTGAGAGGTGTTTTGCATTTGTGTCTTCCTCGGCAGGAGTGGAGCAGGGTTATCCCAGTGTAGTTCTGCCTTTCTCGCCCCACACCTGGGGCTTCCCTGCTCCTCTCTACTTCCCTGATGGCACTCAGGTCCCCACCTCTTTATTGTTTTTTTTTAACCACCCTGGAATACTCCTTGTTGTCTCAATAAAGTGTTTCCTAATGGACAAGATGTCCATCGTTTCACAACATTTATCCCAAGACACTCAGATTCCAGCTTTTGTAATCAAAATTTAGTATGCCTCAAACTCATCTTAGCCTAGCGAAAACTTACTGTCAACAGGCAGACACAGGCTGTGTGTCCCCCCGTCTTCTCCATGGTCTGATGCACTCCCTCCATCTTTTCTTCTGCAGGATATTTATTTATTTATTTTGAGTCTGACTTTTTAAAAGCCTGAAGTGAAACAACAGTCAGCTGACGGCTGGCACCTGATTAACTGCTGAGTCATTGTAACACTGGGCTTCACAGCACTGTGGCTTTTGCCGTTACCGTGGCCCCAGGGCACTGTTACATGTAAGGCACAACCAAAATTTCAGAGCAATGGGTCTAATTGATGGTGTATTATTTTCTAAAATAGATAAGCTTGAGAGTCCACCACCCCTTTCATAATCCTCCTTCTCCTGTTTTACAAAAGACTAGCTTCTGAGCCAGCTTCTAGGATGCATTGTCCCAATGTAAAAACCTTGAGGCCACTAAAAAAAGGGATCCTTGGAAATAGTGATCACTCCAATGATTGGATCCTAAACCCTTATGTAAGTCATTTCCAATTCTTTGTTTTGAAAACTACTAGTAGACTATAAAAAGTAATCTTGGATAATAGATTTTGTGATTTGGGGCATATAACTTGGAAAGAGTTAAAACAAGTGACATTGCTCTAAGAAGACTTCTATATTCTTTTAAGTTTCTATTTATTGATTGATTTTTTAAAATATTTTATTTACCTATTTTTAGAAAGAGGGCAAGGGAGAGAGAAAGAGAGGGAAACATCTATGTGCGCTACCTCTTGAACATCCCCCACTGGGGACCTGGCCTGCAACCCAGGCATGCACCCTGACCGGGAATCAAACCAGTGACCCTTTGGTTCGCAAGCTAGTGCTTAATCCACTGAGCCACCCCAGCCAGGGCTATTTATTGATTTTAGAGAGAGAGGAAAAGAGAGAGAAACACTGATTTATTGTTCCACTTATTTATGCATTCACTGGTTGGTTCTCATATGTGCCCTGACCAGGGATCAAACCCCACAACATGGGAATATTGGGGCAACTCTATAACCAACTGAACTACCCAGCCAGGGCTGTTTTGTACTTTAGATTCTACCTGTAAGTGAAATCATATCATATTTGTCTTTCTTTGACAAATTTATTTCATTTAGCATAATACCCTCTAGGTCCATCCAATGAAAATGTTTTCTTGGTGTTAGCTTTTCCCAGAAAAAAAAATAATAATAAAGATTCAGAGATAAGAGAAGAAGATTGATGAAGGGACTGGCGAGTGCTTTGTTATAACTCTAAAATAGTTTCTCTATGGGGAATGCGTTAAATATGGCTCTGTGTGATAAGTCAAAAACCTTCGAGTTCATCCTGAGGAAAACAGGGCGATGGTCTTAGCAGGATTATGCCATGATCGGATATGGATTTTGTAAAGGTCATTCTGGTAGTAGTGAAGAAAGAGGCCACTGGTAAAGGGGCAACACTGGAAGCAGGGACACATGTTAGGAGGCAGTTGTCTAGGTGAGCGGAGGAGGGCCTGTCCTATTGCAGCAGCTCACACCTCATCATAAATTGTAAATGACACGTTTTAGAAATATCTGGGAGCAGAATTAGCAGTACCTCGTGATTCATGAAATGTGTACAGGTGAAAAAAAAAACTGCCCTGGCTGGTGCGGCTCAGTGGATTGAGCACAGGCCTGTGAACCAAAAGGGCCCTGGTTCTATTCCCAGTCAGGACACATGCCTGGGTTGTAGGCCAGGTCCCCAGTTTGGGGACGTGTAAGAGGCAGCTGATGAATGTATCTCTCTCCCAAATTGATGTTTCTCTCCCTCTCTTTCTCCCTCCCTTCTCCTTTCTTTAAAATTAAATAAATAAAATCTTTTAAAGAACCCTAAAAGTCACAATGATGCCTAAATTTCCAGTACATGAGAAGATTGTGGTTATAACTGTAACAAGAGAAATATCGGGGTCCCCCAAAATGGGGAAATTCCCCCACTAATATGGCGGGGGGGGGGGAGAGCTGAGCAGGGCCTTTGAGAGTTACTTTGTATATTTAAAGAACTTTAATGTTAAGTAGCTGTGCCTGCCTGGCTGGCAGGACTAACTGGTGATGGACGGTAGCCGGAGGGGCTTGCTGTACCTGCGAGAAAGGGTTGGAGGTGGCTTCTTCATCTCAAGGCCACACTCGCCTAGACTAATAATGGCAGCTGAGAAAGGCAGAGGAGACCAGACCACTAGCAGGTGTAATCCAGTGTGGGAGGAGTCAAAAATGGGTTTATGGAAAAAGATCTGCCCCAGGATTTAAACACAAGAGCAGCAGCAGTGCTACAGCTCTGGACCATGTGGGAAAGAGAGTAGGAGAGCTGTGAGAGGTGCACTTGCTCTCTCTCTCTCCTCTTAATTATGTGACTTGGGAGCAGAGAAGGGGGTCTTGGCTATGCAGTTTGAAAGGAAAGGATGCAGAAAGACCCCCACCAGCCCAAAATGAGGATGTGGTTTTGTACGGAGAGCAGGAGGCTGGCTGAGCAGGGATGACTGGGAGAAGCTGGGAATGCTGAACTGAGCCAGCAGGGTGAGGGTGGGAGAGTGGGGGACAGACACTGAGCTGTGGACTCCTATTTCTTTACCTGAGAGGCAGTACCTCTGACAGGCCTGGTTTGGCAAGGGGAGGTAGGATTATGAGTTTGTGGGTGCTTTTGTTTCTAAAGGGCGTGGGATTTAATGGGAGAATTCTGCCATTCTAAACCTGTATAACTTGAATAAATAGTTTCTTTCCTTCTTTCCTTTTCATAAGACTCTGGTATGGCAGCCAGGGTTATCAGTGGTGAACAATAGAGCCCAGTGGTTCTGTTATGTAACTATATATCTTGTTGCCCCGAGAATTATTTAATGAGTCTCCCATTAAAGCCTTAGCATATAAACTTTGCCCTGAGCTCTTTGAAATATAAAACTATATTGGCACTAGCTGGGTAGCTCAGTTATTTGGAG